ATTGCATGTTTTAACATGCAACCTGAATTGTAACAATGATGCAAATGAACTGTGAGATTTAATTAATGTACAGTCAGGTCCATAAATATTGGGACATCGATACAATTCTAACATTTTTGGCTCTATACACCATATATTTGAAATGAAACGAACAAGATGTGCTTTAACTGCAGACTGTCAGCTTTAATTTGAGGGTATTTACATCCAAATCAGGTAAACAGTGTAGGAATTACAACAGTTTGCATATGTGCCTCCCACTTGCTAAGGGACTGAAAGTAATGGGACAGAATAATAATCATAAATCAAACTTTCACTTTTTAATACTTGGTTGCAAATCCTTTGCAGTCAATTACAGCCTGAAGTCTGGAACGCATAGACATCACCAGACGCTGGGTTTCATCCCTGGTGATGCTCTGCCAGGCCTCTACTGCAACTGTCTTCAGTTCCTGCTTGTTCTTGGGGCATTTTCCCTTCAGTTTTGTCTTCCACAAGTAAAATGCATGCTCAGTTTGGATTCAGGTCAGGTGATTGACTTGGCCATTGCATAACATTCCACTTCTTTCCCTTAAAAAACTCTTTGTTGCTTTTGCAGTATGCTTTGGGTCATTGTCCATCTGCACTGCGAAGCGGCGTCCAGTGAGTTCTGAAGCATTTGGCTGAATATGAGCAGATGATATTGCCCGAAACACTTCAGAATTCATCCTGCTGCTTTTGTCAGCAGTCACATCATCAATAAATACAAGAGAACCAGTTCCATTGGCAGCCATACATGCCAACGCCATGACACTACCACCACCATGCTTCACTGATGAGGTGGTATGCTTAGGATCATGAGCAGTTCCTTCTCTTCTCTTCCCATCACTCTGGTACAAGTTGATCTTGGTCTCATCTGTCCATAGGATGTTGTTCCAGAACTGTGAAGAATTTTTTAGATGTCGTTTGGCAAACTCTAATCTGGCCTTCCTGTTTTTGAGGCTCACCAATGGTTTACACCTTGTGGTGAACCCTCTGAATTCACTCTGGTGAAGTCTTCTCCTGATTGTTGACTTTGACACACATACACCTACCTCTTGGAGAGTGTTCTTGATCTGGTCAACTGTTGTGAAGGGTGTTTTGTTTCTTCACCAGGGAAAAAATTATTCGGTCATCCACCACAGTTGTTTTCCGTGGTCTTTGAGGTCTTTTGGTGTTGCTGAGCTCACCTGTGTGTTCCTTTTTTTTTAAGAATGTTCCAAACAGTTGTTTTGGCCATGCCTAATGTTTTTGCTATCTCTCTGATGGGTTTGTTTTGTTTTTTCAGCCTAATGATGGCTTGCTTCACTGATAGTGACAGCTCTTTGGATCTCATCTTGAGGGTTGACAGCAACAGATTCCAAATGCAAATAGCACACTTGAAATGAACTCTGGACCTTTTATCTGCTCATTGTAATTGGGATAATGAGGGAATAACACACACCTGGCCATGGAACAGCTGAGAAGCCAATTGTCCCATTACTTTTGGTGTTGTAATTCCTACACCGTTCACCTGATTTGGATGTAAATACCCTCAAATTAAAGCTGAGAGTCTGCAGTTAAAACACATCTTGTTTGTTTCATTTCAAATCCATTGTGGTGGTGTGTATAGAGCCAAAAATGTTAGAATTGTGTCGATGTCCCAATATTTATGGACCTGACTGTATGTGCTTTCTATTACAAATACCTTCCTCATGCTGTCCTGTTGCCCTATTTGCCCATTGAATCCCTATGTAAAGCCATTTGTATGTGCAGCATGCACATTGTCCAACATCACAGCTCTCAGGCCAGGTATTTATTCAGACACCAAGAGCTATGCTGCTCTCTCCTCTGTGACAGAGCCAAAGGCTGTCACCGGCAGAATCACTGGCTATTTCTTAGAGCTCTGGAAGGAAATTGTAGTGTAGTTGACATGCTGCATCTACAACAGACGCCTATCAAGTGAACTTGTTACTTTGCCTATCATAGAGGGAATACCATACTTCATGGCCTTCTTTTCTCTCCTGAGGCATTACATACCTCCCTCTGCCAGGCGTATAAATGGCTTCCTATTTTAGGACCCCAGCTCATTCACTCAGGGATGCCATATATCACGCAGATGCCCAATTCCCTTTCTCCCATCCTGAAACATTTCTTTACTCTCCTGGGTGTGTAAACAGTAAGCTCCTCATACTTTAGGGCAGTGGTCTCCAAACTGCGCCCCGGGGGCTTGAGGCACTTTTCTCCACACTGATGCAAGACACTATTCCTCCCACTGACACCAACAATGGAGCATAATTCCTACTACTGACATCAGCAATGGGACCCATTGAGACATACAATGGGGTCCTATTTCTCCCACTGACACCAACAACAGGGCACTATTCCACTGACACCAACGATAGGGCTCTATTCCTCCCAGTGACACCAGCAATGGGGCACTGTTCCTCCCCCTAATACCAAAGATGCATTGTTTACTCCCACTGACACCAGGACAATTTCAACTCCCAGTGGCAACAGAGCGGCCCCCCTAAAGTCTGACCGTAAACTGGCCCTTTGTTTAGAAAGTTTGGAAACACCTGCTTTAGGGGAACCCACAGAACCCCTCCAACATTCCATATTTTGTGACCTTCCTTTTTACCATTCTGAAATGTTTTCTGCCTCCACTGGGTGTGTAAATGGCTTGGGTATTTCCCCAAACCTCAGAGGGAAACCCTTAACTGGTAATCTTATCTTAGCCACTTGCCCTCCAGAGGATTTACCTCCCTTAATGACCAGGCCTCTTTTTGCTACTCGGCGCTGCACTAATTCAACTGATAATTGCACGGTCATGCAATGCTGTACAAACAAAATTTGTCTTTTTTTCACACAAATAGAGCTTTATTTCGGTGAAAAAAAAACACAATATTTTTTACTTTCGGCTATAAAAATATATAGTAAACTCAAAATTAGTTATAAATTTAGGCCAAAATGTATTCTGCTACATGTTTTTGGTAAAAAATCCAAATAAATGTATATTGATTGCTTTGTGTGAAAGTTATAGCGTCTACAAACTATGGTATAGATACTGCAATTTACGCCATTTTTTTGCTATACAGCGCTGCACTAGTTTAACTGACAATTGCGCGGTCATGCAATACGGTACATAAATTAAATTTATGTCCTTCTTTTCACACAAATAGAGATTTCTTTTGGTGGTATTTGATCATCTGTGTGCTTTTTATTTTTGCTGCTATAAACAAAAAAAGTTTTGAGAAAAAATTTTTTTCTCATTTCTGTCATAAAAAATATACTAAAAAACTAAAATTTTGTCATAAATTTAGGCCAAAATGTATTTTGCTACGTTTTTGGTTAAAAAAATCCCAATAAGTGTATATTGATTGCTTTGTGTGAAAATTATAGCATCTACAAACTATGGTATAGATAATGCTTGAAGTGAGGTGATTGTAGCCGTATTAGTGCATTTGCGACAGAAACAATTGAGTACTGTCCGTGATATTTTTTTTATTTGCACTAACATACAATTTTGAGGACACGCTTTCGGGGAATGTCCCCTTCTTCACCTGAAGAAGGGGACATTCCCCGTAAGCTTGTCTTCAAAATTGTATGTTAGTGCAAATAAAAAAAAAAGTATCACAGACAGTACTCAATTGGTATAGATAATGGAATTTACACAGCTTTTACTTTCTGACTGCCTATCACATTTCTTGAGGTGCTAAAATAACAGGATAGTACAAACACCCCCAAATGACCCCTTTTTGGAAAGTAGACACCCTAAGCTATCTGCTGAGAGGCATATTGAGTTCATGGAAGATTTATTTTTTTTCCACAAATTTCTGGAAAATGACAAAATATATATTTTATTTTGTACACAAAGTTGTCATTTAATTATATATTTTTCACACAAGCCATAGGTATATGTGGAAGTACACCCCAAAATACATTCTGCTACTTCTGAGTATGGGGATACCACATGTGTGAGACTTTTTGGGAGCCTAGCCACATACAGGAGCCTGAAATCCAATGACCACTTTGAAAGCCTGAAGGTGCGTAACTTCCTCATTTCACTTCCTCACTACCTATCACAGTTTCGAAGGCCCTGAAATGCCAGGCACCATTCTGGTCTCCAATCAGCTCTATGGTCAGCTAGAAGAAACACCAGCTGCATTCTCAGGTTCCCCCGATGGCACGGGACTGCCCGAGAAGGCCGTGGAAGGCAGTGGGGGAGGGGGGAACCATCTCCCGCTGCTTGTAAAAGCAATCCTGCAGCTAATTAGCCACTAGGATTGCTTTTACATGAAAGCTGATCGCTGGCTGAAAATACTGATACCAGGATGATGCTTGCAGCTGTAGGCATCATCCTGGTATAACCATTCAAAGTCCAGTGATGCACCAGTACGTCATTGGTCCTTGTTGGGTATATATGCTATGTTCTTTTTTTTGTATGCAGCCTGTGGAAGTACAGTGAAAATTCAAAGACCATCAGGCAGATATCATAACTACTTGACCAGCATTTGATGGCTTATTGTAATAAGGTCATAGTTGTGCACAACTGATACGGATTCATATCATAGCTCACCACATCCTGCCTGTGTATTGTGGAAGAGCGATCATTCACTGGAGTAATGTGCAGACAGCTTCTAGGCTGGTAATAGCAAATTCACCTCACTGAGCACCTCATGATAGGTGCAAATATTCCGGTTCCTGCCAGGTAGGGTGCATTCCTCAGTTAGTGCGGCCGGGCTATGACAATGCTGTGACCTGCAAGTGTGCTGATGTATCCATGCAGAGGGTGCAGGGAGGTAAGACGGCTGGAGAGCCGACCGAGCTGAGACTGTGCAGGCTGCACCCAGATGTGACGTAACGCGTTTTGCCCAGCGAGTCACGTGGGCTTCTTCAGAATGGAGGAACCATGATTCTGGAGTTCCTTATAGCCCAAGAGGGCCTCATTTTCAAAAATCATTGGAAACATGGCCTCCAATTAGCATCAAGAAAAGATAACCGTAAAATCAAGGACAAAACGTCATCTCATAATGAAATATTAGAGAACATACTTGGTGGATAATGCTCGGGGACGGCACACAGCTGAGCATTGGACAAAATGTCATATTTGTTAGCATGCAGCCGACGTTCAGATCTCGGGGGCAGCTTGATGGTGAATTTCTGAAGCAGAGCAGAGAGGAGAAAGAAGAGCTCCATTCGGGCCAGACTCTCTTCGGGACAAACGCGCTTTCCTGCTGAGAATGCCATGAAGGCCACCCGATTGCGGAACTGGCCCTCTTCATCCAGGAAGTATCCGGGATTGAACTGTTGTGGCGTCTTCCATTGAGAGGGGTCATAGAGCACCGATAAAAGGAATGGGATGATGATGGTGCCCTTCGGGATGGCATATCCATGGAACTCGATGTCTTTGGAGGAGAGTACTTGATGTCAGGTCTAAAATTCTCTGCATTTTATGAATGACAGCATTGGTATACGGCATTTGTGGTCTGTCTTCGAACCTAGGTAGATGCAATGACTGCGTCACCTCATCAGTTTCTTGTTGGACTATTGCAACATTGCCTGTAGGCTCTCATCACAGAAATCTGGGTCCTTCTCATTCTCTGCCTCTTTCATCTTCAGCAGGAAATAATCAAATCTTTTCTCCTCGAGCATGCGGAATACCATGGTCTTCTTCCCCGTCACAAAGTCCCTCAGGAAGGAGATGGCAAAGCGGCACAGAGGAACGCCATCGGGGGCCATTAAAACCGCAAATTTTTTGCTCATTTTAGCACGATTGCGAAGCCCCTCACAGATCTCACCAAGAAGGCCATGCCTCGGATGGTAACCTGGACCCCAGCCTGCCAGACTGCATTTGACCTGCTTAAGGAGGTCCTTTCCCATGACCCCATCCTAGCAGCACCCAACTACCAGCTAAGGTTCCTACTTATGGGCTGAGGGCCGTCCTCAGCCAGGTAAAAGAGGAGGAGCACCCTGTGGCATTCCATAGCAGGAATCTACTAGACCGGGAGGTCGCCTATGCCACCATAGAGTGCCTGGCCATAGTGTGGGCATTGAAGAAACTTCAACCCTATTTGTATGGCCGTGAGTTCACCATCCTCACAGACCATAACCCCCTCACCTGGCTGAATCGGGTCTCCGGGGATAATGGCCTCCTCTTACGATGGAGCCTGGCTTTACAACCCTACAATTTCACTACCCAATGCAGGTGGGCTGTCCAGTCAGCAAGACCCCCAGTAGATAAATGCAGTCCACAAGTGCTTCCGAGGGAACCTGTTGAGGTTCCCCTGGCCGCACTTATAGAATGGAGGGAGGAGGGGTTGTCACGGAGCTGGTCCTCCCCCCCCCCCCCCCCATCCTCCAGATGTGCTGCCTGCTGCCCCCCACCTCTCAGCAGCCCCTCACTCTACTGTCCCATCCGTGCTGGGACTTCTATTCTTCCTTGTCCTGACACAGGAAGTCCCCAGCGGCCCCTCACCCCCCTGTCGCCGGCAATCTGGCCCCCGTCGAGGGAGCATCCTGCTTCCCTGGCTGAGTACCACAAAGTTGGCTCCCCTGTTGTGGGAATCCACAGGCAGGCTCCCTCCTGTCACCCCCCCCTCCCTGTCCCCTTGTGCACATCTGATCCCGCAACGCTGAGTTTTTTGGGACGCTATATTAATGTGAATGCTGGTATAGTGCTGATCTGATCAAAGATATTGATTCGTTCAGACACTATGCTAGCAATGGAGGTTTATTGTGTATGAGCATGTTCCTGGCAATCAATGGGTTAAATGTGATTACTGGTGTACTGATGGGCAATCTGACGCTAACTGGAAGGAAGGTGAAAACCACAGGAGCGCGAATCACGTATATATTTAATGTGATTTTGTGCACCCGTGCCACCCTGTAGCAGTATTTCTGCTATAGGGCGGTCAGGAAGCAGTTACATAAGCGGTTTGTGTTATGGCGCTGCGTTACTTTAACTGACAATTGCGCGGTCATGCAACGCTGCACCCAAATGAAATTTACGTCCTTTTTCCCCACGAATTGAGCTTTCTTTAGGTGGTATTTGATCGCCTGTGCGCTTTTTATTTTTTGCGCTATAAAAAAAAAGACCGACAATTTTGAGAAAAAAACCCAATATTTTCAACTTTTTCCTATAAAATATGTCCAGTAAAAAAATGTAAAAATCTAATTTTTTCATAAATTTAGGCCAAAATGTATTCTGCGACATGTCTTTGCTAAAAAAAAAAAAAAAAATCCCAAAACGCGTAAATTAATTGGTTTACATGAAAGTTATAGCGTCTACAAATGGCGGTATAGATATTGGAATTTATTTACTTTTTTTATATTAAAAATGGCGTCGATTGGCAGCGACTTATGGCGGGATTGCGGCAGACATTCAGACATTAGGGTGGAACTGACTTGGGGTCACTGACATCCCCAGTGACACCAATAGATCAGTGCAAAAAAAAAAAAAAACTGGGGAGGAAGGGGTTAACATTTTTAGGCAATCAAAGGGTTAACTGTGTGAGGGGAGTGTTTCACTAGGGGGTGGGGGGGTGTGTACTTCACAGGAACACACTAATCCAGAAAGCTAAGCTCTGCTCTCCGGAACAGTGTGCTGAAACTGACAGGGAGGAGAGCTGCAGTGTAAACACTGCAGCCGTCCTCCCTGTTAGTGACTGGCCGGGATTTTGTGCAGCGTTGCCGCCCTGCTGCAGTATATGTACTGTGGCTGGTCTGCAACCGGTTAACGCTGAAAATAAACCCATTGGGCAAGTCAAATGTATACAGAAACTGTGGCTGCCACTTAGGCTGGCGATACATTATACAATTTTCTTGTACAATTTTCCTTTAGATTTACCATAACCATATAATATGAGGTCAAACCTAAAAACTATCAAATTGTATGCAATCAGGCAGGCCCTTGCACTAATTTATGGTAACCCTAAAGGTGACCAATGCTGTTCTAGTACTTTGCAGCCTCCATACCTCCTACTTGAAGTGTAAAAACAAATCATCTAGATTACTGTAGGCTTGCAGGTTTATATAAATAGTCTAGCATTTTGGTATGTAAAATTGACCTAGATATCCAAATTAGGCAGGTTACAGATATCTGTGCATGTAGTTAACATAGAATACAAAAACCACTCACAGTTTGGAAAAATTTAGATAGTACTATGGCTCCATAACATGTACTTGGTTTTATGTTAACCACTTGTCTACCAGCCACAGTATATATACTGCGGCAGGGCGGCACCGCTGTGCAGAATCACGTTTTAAAACTCATTCGCGCTCCTGATGCTTTTGCGGACGGGGGGGGGGGGGGGGGGTGCACGCACCCCTGCCAACCCGCGGATGTCACGATTCGATCCCCGAAGGATCAATCATTCAATTTCAGCCAGTGATGTCCGGCTGAAGTTGGATGATCGGTCCCTGTCCTATCCTGTCCTGTGTTGACAGTTACACAGGACAGGATATGATGTAAATCTTCTGTGCCTGGGCAAATTCGGTCCCAGAGAGAGAAGAAGACACAGAAAACATGAGAAAAACAGCACACATTTACAGTTAAAACACACACTAGGTCACATTTAACCCATTGTTGCCCCCCCCCCCCCCCCAGTTAACCCCTTCACTGCCCTGTCACCAGTGTCATTGTTTACAGTGCACAGATTTTTACTGATCACTGTATTAGTGTCGCTGGCGACTTCTGATAGTGTTAACGTCAGCGTCAGTTAGCGCCCCTCCCAGATAGCTTCAGATTGCCCGCTAGTACACCAGTAAGCACATTTAACCCCTTGATTGCCAGGAACACGCTCACTTGCACACTAAACCTCCATTGCTAGTATAGTGTCTGATTGGATCAATATCTTTGAGCAGATCAGCGCTATACCAGCGTTCACATTACACCCTGTTCCAAAATATTATGCAAATTATATTTTTCTCATTTACCTAAATAATTGATGTAAATAACAGTCAGCATAATTCTCATGTTATCAACTATTAAGAGTACAATTCAAATTTTATTGAACAAACCTCCTAATGATAACAGTATTTTTTTTAAACATCTCGCAGAGAAAGAGAAAAGAAGATCTCCCTGCCTTAATATCGAAACTAACAGTGGGAGATCAAAGCATCCTTTTGGTCATGAGACTTAAAACCAAGGCTGACTGGCAAGTACTTTAACCCTTTAAACTCCTTTCTGTTACCGGTTTGCTTTGCGGTTATGCTATATATATATATATATATATATATATATATATATATAGGTTACATCTTCTTTCTGTAAATATTTCTTCTGCTGCACCCCTTTAACCTTTTGGTAATAAATCTTACTTTCTGAAAGTGTTGAACTGCTTCTATAGCTCTTGAATGTAACTTACGAGTCCCTGCCGCTGAAGAACGCTACTATGAGTGTTTAACCCTCTGTATAACCGGTCTGTAGAGATAGCGGTATACTGTCGATTAACCAATCATCCTAGTGTATTGCCGAGTTTCCTCTTTCTCTGTATAAAAAGGAGGTGGTGGCAGTGTGAAGGGTTAATTGCGTAATTAACCTGACCCAGTAACAAGCTGATCCCGCTAACGCTGCGTTTTTGGGAACACTATACTACACCCTGTTTCAAATTCATGTGCAAATTCTATTTAAGTGTCACAAAGAGTAAATATTTTGTTTTTCAGTTTAACTCATGGATGGCATTGTGTCTCAGGGCTCTTTTGATCACTGAAAACAATCTCGGACACCTGTGATAATTAGATTGGCCGGTGAGCCCAATTTAAGGAAAAACTACTAAAGGAGGGTGTTGCACATTATTAAGCAGAGCACCATTTTCAATCAATATGGGGAAGAAAAAGGATCACTCTGTTGCCGAAAAGAGTTAAATAGTTCAATGCTTTGGACGAGGTATGAAAACATTAGATATTTCACGAAAACTTAAGCGTGATCATCGCACTATTAAGAGATTTGTGGCTGATTCAGAGCACAGACGGGTTCGTGCAGATAAAGGCACATTAAGGAAGATTTCTGCCAGATCCATGCAACGGATCAAGAGAGCAGCTGCTAAAATACTATTACATAGCAGCAAACAGATATTTGAAGCTGCTGGTGCCTCTGGAGTCCCACGCACAGACATCAAGGTGTAGAGTCCTCCAGAGTCTTGCAACTGTGCATAAACCTTCTATTCGGCCACCACTAACCTGTGCTTACAAGCAGAAACGACTGCATTGGGCAGAAAAATACATGAAGACTAATTTTCAAACAGTCCTGTTCACTGATGAGTGCCGTGCAACCCTGGATGGTCCAGATGGATGGAGTAGTGGATGGTTGGTGGACGGCCACCCTGTTCCAACAAGGCTGCGACGTCAGCAAGGCGGTGGTGGTCATGTTTTGGGCCGGAATCATGGGAACAGA